TGCCCCACCCTATATGGTTTTAAATGGATCTCCCCATGTGAGCATGGAGTTGACCTACTCAACTCCTTAAGCATTTTTGTCCTTTCATCTTCATTAAATCCTGCATACTGATAATCATCACTTTGAATAACTTCCAACTCTTCATCAACTATGTCATTACCTATACTTTCAGTTTGCTTGTTTAAAATTCCATGTTCATCTACATCCACATGACTTTGGAATTCACTCATGTCTACATCCACATCAAATTGCATGTTAGACTCATGTACAATGTAGTCATTATCATCAGAATCATCTGCACTATAATCAAAACCATCTTCATTCTCACTATAGAAAGCATCTCCACTATCATCATTTACCATGCCCTCTAGAATTTCCATTTCTACTTGATTGTCTTCACCATTCGGTACACTGTACTCAACATCAAATTCAGCATAAGTTGAATAATCATCTGTAAATGCTTCAAATTCATCGAGTCTTACACTTTGTTGTCCATCAATATCTTCAGAAATTGGTTCCTCTACAAGATTGCCTAAATTGCTCTTACACACTTCTTCTATGTGGCCCATGATCAATCCTTCATTCACATCAATGACATTACTTCGTTGGCTAACTTGAGACATAACATATGGAAAAATAGTCTTTGAATGTCACACCCCCAAACCAGAACGGCGGAAACGTTCGGGGGCGGAGGACGTCATATTCAGTATCATAACAGTTCATAGAAAGGAAAGTACACACCACCATATATATTAAAGTTTCCAAGATGTTTACATAATTGTATTCATTACATGTTCAAAAGATAAATACATAAACATCATCCAAAAGAAGTAATTAACGCCAGCGCGTTAATCCCAAAAGTTGATTCCCAAACCTGCTTAGCGGTTCCCTGAGAATACAAGTTATTTCAAAGAAAAAGTGTCAACAATTAAGTTGGTGAGTTCATAAGTAGTTTAGAAAAATTGGATGCCATTCCAAAATGGGTGTATATTTTCCAGAAAACGCAGCATTTCAAATGTAAAGAGTTGTGATTTGTTGTGTTGAAAGTGAATGTATTAGATCCAGAAAATCCCATATTTTCCCTAATGGTTGAGATACGAGTTGTTGTGTTTTCCAAGAAAAACCCTTATTTTCTTATAAAAGTATGAAATGCATATAAATGTTCGTGTTATAAGTTGTAAATAATTGCACCAGGAAAATCCCTTATTTTCCTATTAGTTGTTTGGTTTGTATGCAGGAGAAACCCTTATTTTCCTAACATAAATGGCAGTCTCTAAGACCGAAAATCGCAAGAAACCGACGTTCTCAAAAGTTGTGTCATAGTTTTATATAGTAAAACTATACGAAGATCGCATTTATTAGATGAAGAATAGTTTTAATAGCTACTCGTTCATAAAAGCATAATACCATAATAATTGTATATCCGATGAGTTTTATAACCATACTAAACATAATATGCCTGTAACGACGTTCTTCAGGCGTCGCAGCGTTATGACAACTGTCACCCCAAAAGACGGACTGTAGCTAACAGTCAGGGCGCGGGATCATGACTTCCCGTATAGATCTATACACATTTGACACGTTCTCCGAACGGGAGACTCTGGTTATAGACAGGACTTGCAGCATTACTTTCTAATAAAGAAAAGTAACGTTTGAAGATATACACGTCTCATGGATTCTCAACTAAGCCCGTATTAAAGTGATAGTTTTCTATGCAAAGTTTATCCTTTTTCACAATGTTTGACAAAGCAAAATCATAAGTTTTTAGAATGTATAAAACGACTTAACAATGAAAGTTACTTTGAAATCATTATATACTTTGTATAATGTCTAATGCACGCAAAGTATGACAAGAGTTTTCCATAATAGTAATGAGTTCCAAGTGATTTATTCGATAAAACAAGTGAAGTGAAACTTTATAAAATACACGATAATAACCGTATGTTTACTTGTATTCCCCCCTAAAAGAGTATAAAAGCATTTAAAATGTATTTAAAGTGTGTTTGAAAGGGGTATGAACTCACTTGAAAGTTTGAAGATAGCAAGATGGAAAACCGGGCAGAGTTTCGTCTCGGGAAATGGATTTTCCTCGGAAATCTCGGGATTCCTCGGGAGAAAAATCGACCTTCGGGACTTGCACAAAATGACCAGGGCTTCGGGGTAGTGCGAGCACGGAAAACGAGGTAAAACGCAAGAAAAAGGAGAGAGAATTGGCCATTTTCCCGGGAACCCTCGCATGCTATTTATAGGGGGCCTGAGAGGCCTCGTACGCGGGGCGTACGCTCGTACGCAGCGCGTACGCGTACGTCATGCGTGACCGAAGCCTCGACTGCCTCGACCTCGGATGGGACGGCTCAGGCAGTCGGGTCAGATGGGACAGCGGGTCGGATGCCTCGCATAGGGCGATGTGGACGGTTTGAGGCCAAGTTCCTCGGGTACGTGGGGCGTACAGGAGTACGCAGCGCGTACCTCGGATGAGGACGCTGACTCCCCTTCGGATAATACCGAAGTTTTAATAAAAATATATATAAATTATTTATCAAACTTCGAAAATTCATATCTCCTTCATACGAACTCCGTTTTTGACGTTCTTTATATCCCCGCGAAGGTGAGACTACGATCTACAACTTTCATTTAGATTCCGTTGGCAAATTCCGGAATTATTTTTATTATTTATTTATTAAAATGACGTGATTAAGGAATTTCTTTAAAAATTCATAACTTATTCATACGATGTCCGATTTGAGCGTTCTTTTTATGCTTGTTTGTAGTTTAACGATATCTACGACTTTCATTTAGACACCTAAGGTCGGAAAGTGTTTTATTGAAACTTTGCGTTTTTACGCAACTTCGTATTGCCGGTTTTTGTCGTAAAACTTAGAATGATCATAACTTCTTCGTTATAACTCGGATTTTTGTGTTATTTATATGTTTGGAAACCTTAAGACGATAACTACCGCATAGTGTACTCCAAATAGAGTTTTTGAATACTTCATTTTTCGATGATATTTTAATTCCTTTCTCAAAGAGGTTACAGGACTCGATTTTTACTGACTTGAAATAGCGGGTTGTTACATTGAATGATCCTGACTTTCATCCATATCTATTACTTGTGACTAGTCAACAACATGGTTGGCACGGGGGGTCTAACTCAAGCTTTTTACTACACGATCCTACTTCTCTTCTACAAGGTTTTTTTCTATTAAGTTCCGGTGACACACTCTTAGGTTCCAGTTCCTCGATAACAACTTTGGAAGGAGACTTAAAATAACTAACTACCCTAGTCTAACCAATTTCAATATAGACCTTTACAAGTCTGTGCTTAGGGACATACGAAACCAATTTAAGAACATCTTGGTTATTCCCTAAAGGCAATAACCCGTAGTCTAAGGGAAATTCGGGGATACAGAAATGGTAGTAAAGAGTTTGTTCACCTTTGTACCCTGATTCTCGAACCATGTCATCGAGTTCATGGACTGAAAATAAATCAGTGTCAACGTCATCTACGTATGATACAGTACCATCAACGTATTTCCTTCCAGGTGATTTGGTGAAGACACCACTATAGTGTATCTTCAACGTGAAATAGTTATCATATCCCTCTACAAACACAAAAATAGAAAGGATAAAGAAGATGATTTATCTTCACAAATACATTCAAGGAAAACAAAAACTTCAGTTTTTTTTTTTTATGAAAAATCTTACCTTATCTTGATTACCAGTCCTTCAAGCACGCATTTTTTTCACGCAAACACCATATTGACATAACCATTGTCCTTTGGTGTTGTGTAAACCCTAAACCCCAATTTCGATTCGAGGATAAGAGTGATCTGTTGAAGACGAAGTCACTGTGCTCTTGGGAGATGAAGAGTGTTTGGGAGTTGACGTGAAGAAGACAGTGGCATAATCATTTCCCTCAATAAAGAAGAGGGCACAGGTGAAAAGACCGATTTACCCTTATATTATTTTAATGAAATAAGGGTTAACGGTGGGATTCTAACGGTGTGAGGGATAAGGACCACCTGTCAAAAGTTTTGAAAGCATAGGGACCAACTATGAGATTTTTAAACTACGGGGACTAAACTTCAGAATCTGGGAAAACACAGGGACCATTTATGATGCTTTTTCTCAAAATAACTACAAAATGACATTTGACAAATTGAATAAGAGTGATATATTGCAAAAAATCTTCATTTATTAGAAAAGATTATTATAATTATTACATTATGTGGAATTTATTAAAATAGAAAAACTCATAAAATGACATATGGAAAAAAAAATTAATTCAAAATAACTATAAAATGATATTTGACAAATTGAATAAGAATGTGATATATTGAAAAAAAAAAAAAAAAAAAAAAAAGATTGCATCATTTAGTTGTGCACTTGGTTGAATATCTAACAAAAAAGATTAAAGCAGCAAAGTGTTGCCATATCACTTAATATGTGAAAAAAAAAATCATTTTGGCACAAAATGTAATCATTTTAAACACATTCACATCTTTTATATATATATATATATATATATATATATATATATATATATATATATATATATATATATATATATATATCAGTGGAAATTAAGATACCCAAATTTCATCAAAAGTAATGCCTTGGCATATCTGTGTGACGTAAGATTCTAATAACATTTTAAATGCCCAATAATAATGTACATCTGCCTTTTTCATCACATTCCCAAACAAGAACACCACAAAAACACAATTTCTATCAAATTCTGAAGACAAATCTTACCAAAACTTGGTTACAATAATATACTAATAAAACTTGGAATTTATTTGCACAACTAACTACTCCCTCTATTATACATGCAGTCTCATGCATTTAACCCATTTCCACCAGCAATCTTCACATTGAACAAAATAAAACCAAATAGGCAACAACAACATATCTCACTGAGTCAAAAGAATGAATAGACTAGTTTTTACAATCAAGAAGCATCAACACAGTAAGAAGAAGAAAAAAGAAACATATGCCTTTTTTTTTTTTTTTTTTTTTTTTTTTTTTTTTTATAGTAGTGGCAAAATCAAAATCATACATTAATATCATTCCTTTTGGATCTAATACTGTTTAATTCTTGAGCTCCACTCAATGCAAATCTTGGGATATTATAATTGTCAGGCGTCAACACCGGTTGCTGAGGATACAGTGTGGGAGGTGGGGTCAGATTTCGCTGAGCTGGCAGTGGTGGTAGAACATTGTACTTGTACGTGTCTCCACTTGTCCTGCAAAAGTATAACATGATTTTTTTTTTTTTAAATAAAAAAACCAATTTATTCTCTCATATAATATGATAAGCTTTATATTATACCTTGTACTTGTGTATATCTGATCTTCATCACTCAAATTCTGTAATGGTCTTTGCACTGAGGTTGACCATGGACTTGCCATTGGTAACTCATCTGAAAAATATCTTCTTCTTACCAACTGAAAAGTTACAGATCATCCACTAAAACTTATGAATGTTTTTTTTTTTTTGGAATGTAAGGGTAAAATGGTCATTTAGTCTCACTGATAAGAAGAAAAAAAAAAGATCTTATATGTGCATACCATACGGAAAAACTTCATCACAGCCTCCTTATCATATCTTGCTTCTTTTGCAGCCTGAACATTTTTTTAAAACAATTAAAAAAAAAAAAAGGAAAAATCAAGAAATGCAGATTGAAAATTGATGCAAATCTTACAGCCATAAGCCCTCCAGATCCAGGAAAGGTGTCAATGAGAGGGAGCTCCTCATTTGATGGAAGCAAACCCTGTTTTTCAACCCATTGGCGTGCCATGTCAACAAGATTTCCACTGCTACCCCTTGTCCCTTCTTTGGCTGCCACGTCAGCTTTGTTACCAATGACAAGGTAGGGCACAGGAAGGCCACCTGGACCCCCATTCGCCAACGGGGCAGAAAATGTCCCTGTTGCTGCAATCTCTGCTGCCCATTTTTTCAAACTTGTTTTTGTCCTTCTTTGAGAAAGATCATGCACGAAAATAACACCTACACACACAACACATGTTCTTTAATCTTCAACAAAGATTGAAATTTAAATAAATAATATTTATATTTATATAAATACCGTTTATTTGGGAATAAAAGATGGAACGACAATCTGTATAACGATCATGTCCAGAGACATCCCAGAGTTCAATGAAGAAATCCCTATCTTTGTCACCTTTTTCACTATCTGAAGAGCTACTAGGAGTTCCATATGTAAAATGCTGCATATAAAAATATAAATATATAAAAGTTACTTTATAAATATTTAATTTTGTTTCCTTAAAAGATATCTATAATCTATATATACCTTCACGTCTACTGTACATCCAACTGTTTGAGGAGGATGCTTTGTTGTTGTACCTTTCACTATCAGATGAACAAGAGAAGTTTTTCCCACACCTATATAATATATTTTAAAACCAAGGCATAAAGAGCTCATTAATCTATGATTGGCTTCTAAAAAGAAAATAAAAGAGGTAAACTATCAAAACTATGAATCAAAAACATCTGGTCATCCGGAAATAAGAGCAGCACTCAAAATCACAGACATTTTCCCATTCTCAAGCATCATTAAGTTTGAGAAATACTAGCAAAGCATAAACTACAACAGATGGGGTGTATCATGCTCATAATATGTAACACAATTCAGTTCAAGAAGACAAGAACCAACAAGACCTTGCTAAAAGCTACTAGAGTCACCATGTTGTGGAGCTTCTTATGGATGATTTTATCACATAGCCAATCCTAATGCAACCCTAAAATCCTCTAAATGATAACTAGCAAGTAGTATGGCATCTATGATTGCAAAAGGCTGACTGGATTACTTGAAATAAATGTTGGATTTAAACCTACAAATATGGTCTATTTGAGTAAAGTATAACAGATCGGCAGATATGATTAGAGGATGAAAATCTAATTGTCAAGTGAGGACAACTCTAATCTCCATACGCAACCGATAAAATCTTATTGAAATCATGTTAAAATAGAAACAGCATATGAACTACATCAAATCTGATGATTCAACAGAAGAACAATAACAATAAATTGAAGTAAGCAGTTACCTGAATCACCAACAACAAGAACTCGAACCTGCCCACAAGGAGGGCCTCCATTTTGCTCTTTGTTGATCTCCCTTTCGCGTTCCCTCCAAAACATATTATGCTAACCTTCTTCCTTGCCGCATTAAAAGATCACAAGTTTTCGGCTGCAAATTTCGGCCGATCTGTCTATACCCAGTTCGCGAATTAAGATTTTAGATTTTTGGGTTGCGATTTATGCTAAACACTGATTGTTTATAGGGGATTTCTTCAACTGTAATTTGAGGGTTTTGGGATAGAGCTACTCTATAGTAGTTGGAGAATCGGTTTCCAGAAATAAGAGGATTCAGATCGTTGATGTTAAAATCAAATTCCCATTTAGATCAGAACCATATTTAATAATTGATTGAAGCTATAGACCCGGATTTCGGAAAAGCAAGTTTGAGGCACACGATTCTGAAATTTTATTGAACTTTTATAAGTTTATTTACTTCTACCTTTCGAACAAATGGAGCATAACATATCCCTCTTCGCATAAAATGCAATAATTACAATTATAGTCCCCTTAATTTTTAATTTGCATGATATATAGTATTTTTGATCCGTATAATTTTTAGTTTAAGACCGAGTAAATTACAGTGTTAGTTCCTATGGTTGTCATCTATTTGTACTTTTAGTTTTATTTTGAAAATTTAGCACTAATGGTCCTTGTGGTAGGCAAAAGTTGCAGTTTTGATCCGTAAAACTATTATCATCTACATGTGCCCTTCACATGAGGGCATTTTGGTTTCCCCCTTCTCTCTCATAATATCGTATATGATTTAAAATTAGATCATCTTCTTCATCCATCTTCTCTCTTCCCTTTATAAATCAAAACAAGAAAAAATCTCACTTAATCACACAATGGTGATTTGTCACTATGGAAGCCAAACCTTCATCACAACTTTATGGAGTGATATTAACTTAAGGAAATGATTTTGAAGTTGTGGGAGGTGTTGATTTATTGAGTGGGTCGATCTTCCTATGTGTTTTAGGGTTATGACCATTATCCCAGAATTGCTCGATGCAAAGAACAAAACTGAAGATCTTAAGTTGCCATGAAATACAAGTTGTTATATCATTTGTGGATTTTTTTTCATCTTTTCTTTTTTTTTTGGATTTGTAGCTAAAAAACACTTTGCTTTTGTTGTTGAGTGATGATCTTAATAACAAACAACATGCATACAGAGCCTTCAACATGACTGAAATGCCCCCACCGACCTACAGATTATCTGGTACGCTCACAGAACGTTCAGCATGACTGGTATGCCTCACCAGACCCTCAGCCTATCTGGAACGTTCTCTAGGCCTTCGACCTGACTGGTACGCCCCTCAGGCCTGCAATCTATCCGGGACGCCCTGGGCTATTGGCCTTCATTCTACACTGGTCAGCCTCAACCTAACCACATATAAACCATGTCGACATATACATAACAAATAAGCATACATATAACCAGTCGACAATTAGATAGATCTTACAGATCACTAAGCATAGAATCAACCAATATACCAGGATACCGATCCAATAGATCACCACAACACAAAAGTATATTATCACATATCAGGATATATAATCCAATGGGTTGGCCTTGGTGCCTTCGACCTGCAAATACAGTGAGAAAAACTCACCTCGCAAACTGGACAGAAGCTATTGAGGTCCCGACTTTGAATCTCAGCTCTCAAACCAACACCTACTCCAACCGAACGACCGATATCCATCACAATCCCAAAATACCCTTAAGTCAAACTTAGTCAAAGTCAAAGTCAAACTAGTCAAACCCACTGAGTAAAGTGAGTCAACCCAACCGAGTTAACTCGATCGGATCAACGCAGGGTGCGTACGCGAGATATACTCCGAAGGTACATTGGGAGTACACGAAACCTCATATGTTGACCACCATCGAGGTGGTTGACCTCATACGCTAGGCGTACTCCGAATACGTAGGGCGTACCCTCGCAAATCCAAAAATTCCATTAAGAGCTTAATGGCTTCAGCTCTTACATCCATAACTCAGATCCATAGCTAAAATACTCTTAGGAGTCATAAAGTCTCCAACTTTATGACTTAGCATGACCAATAAGTGCTTAACTCAAAGTCTTATTCCATTAAGACCTTCTTAGTGATGTAGGGGGCAAAACTAACCACTTGGAACCCATTTTTATGACTCAAGACCCTTCCAAGGGTCTGAAATGACAACTTAATGGGTCAAGAACATGCTTTGTTCAAGAATCATCATTTTGGGACCAAAAAGGGACTTTAAAGAGCAAAACCTAGATCTACAAGATTGATTGGAAAAGATGCAAGCTTTATACCTTTTTGAGAATGCAAACAAGCTAGGAATCTGAAATCTAGAATGCACTCCACTCCAAGGTCTTCACACCACCTTCTTCTTTCTTCAAAACCACACCAAACTCTCTTAAAGGATCACAAACTGGCTTCTTTTTGCTCTAGGGTTGCTTGAGGTTCGAAATCTCTGAAGGAGGTTGGATAAGAATAGGGTTTATGTCCACAAAGATGCTTAAATATGAGCCAAGTCCCCAAAATTTGGGTTTTACACGCCACCCTCGTACGCCCAACGTACGAAGTGTATGCCTAGCATACTAAGGTGCGCCTTAGTATGCTTATCGTACACCCATGTACGCATAACGTACTCATCTGGCCCAAAAGCCACATTGGGCCCCTTTTTACCATTTCTCAACGTATTGACTAAAGTTCAATGTACCGAAATCATAAAGCCCAAGATTAAAAGTACCTTAACATCGAGATGTTACAATTCTCCCCCACTTGATCTAGACTTCGTCCTCGAAGTTTTCTACGACGAATAACTCAGGATAATGCTCCCGCATCTCACCCTTCAACTCCCAGGTCCATTCGGTGCCTTTCTGATGTTGTCATTGTACCTTTACCAAATGTGTCTCCTTGTTGCGCAGGACATTCATCTTCATTTCTAAAATAGCCATCGGTCTCTCAACATAGTTCAGGCGCTCATCGACCTGAATATCATCTAAGGAAACCACTGTCTCATCCTCTAATACACATTTTCGTAACTACAAAACATGGATGGTGTTGTGAATATGATAAAGCTCCTTGGGTAGATCCAACCTGTAAGCCACCTTGTCAACCCTGACAATCACCTAAAAAGGTCCAACAAACTAGGGATCCATTGTCCCCCTCTTCCTCAAGCGTATCACACCTTTCCAAGGCGAAACCTTCAGTAATACCATATCACCGACCTAAAATTCCAAATCAGATCGGTGCTGGTCGGCATAGCTCTTTTATTGATTATGTGTTGTATGTAGCCTCTGTCTGATTTGTTGAATAAGCTTTGTAGTATGGAGTACTACTTCGGTCCTTCCCATGACCCTATGACCAACCTTACCCCTACACAACAGGGTACGACACCTCCGACCATATAAGAGCTCAAAAGGCGGAGCACCAATGTTGTAGTGATAACTATTATTGTAGGAGAAATCCGCAATAGGTAGGTAGGAATCCCAACTCCCACCAAAATCAATAACACAGGTCCGCAAAATATCCTCGAGGATCTGTATCGTCCGCTCACTCTGGTCGTCGAGCTGCAGATGATATGCAGTGTTGAAATGCAACCTTGTACCCAGTTCCTCATGGAACTTCTTGTTGGATTAGGTTTCTAAGCCCATAACTATAATTAATATGTACTTGACCCGAGAGTAGCATGGTCAATTTTGGGTTGCATTCACCAGAACAATCAAATAGGATGGATATTTGAGAAAGAGGTTATTTGTGATTTATTAATATATTATATTTATTAATATATTATAAGTACAATATATTAATTGTGAAATCATATTATTTAATTAGTAATGATCAAAAACTAATTTGGAATTAATTTAGTGATCAAAAGAGACTAACTACATTAACGAGGACTGATTATGTAAATCAGTGATACATATGGTTTGGGCTATTGATCCATGATGGGCTAAGTTTATGTAAGAGTCCATGAAGAGTTAGTCCATATGGATTATGGATCATAAGCCTAAGTGTAAGAATTAGGGTTACATGTGACTCTTAGATTCTACACTATATATATATATATATATATATATATATATATATATATATATATATATATATATATATATATATATATATATATATATAACCCCTTGGCCTAAAATTGGATACACTAGTGATCTTAGAGATACTATAGTCAATTTTGAGTGCCTCATAACCTCTCTCTCAAGTTCTCCAATTGTTAGTGGTGTTTTGTGAACCATTTGAAGCATCACACTTGAGGTGCTAAGTTCTTAAAGGCCAAATACAACAAGCTATAACAAGAGGTAATCTTCTAACTAGTGTTTTTATGATTCAAATGTCAAATTGTATGCTAGTTGTAGGCTTCATTCTTTGGATAATTTTGCTGCATGTATAACCAGAGAAAACTTAGATCCAAAGCATTAGGATTGTATGTACACCATAGGGATGTTAGAGTTCATAAAACCCAACAATGGTATCAAAGCCATGGGTTGTTTTCGGTTATATAGATACATTGGTTATTTGTTCAAGGCTGAAAATTTGAAAAACTTCTCTCTAGACAGTGGACTCGACGAGTCCTATGATCTTACTTGACGAGTTGGATAGGCCAGTTGCAGTTTTTCAGGTTTTTTTTGGCTAAAATTGGATTAGGATCATTACCATGATCTGTTTTATATCATAAAATCTTTTTTATATATTGTAGTGATTAACCTCATCAAATTAATAGATAAATTGTCAAATCTTGAGATAATTACTAGTTTACATGATAAGCTAATTGTTTGTAATTCTTTGATTTGAAGTTATCTTGCTATAAGAGTTTCATTAGGTCAAATTGGCAAAAGGATAAAATTATGATTATTTTATTAGTTAAGCATTTGATCTAAATGGATTTGAAGAGGTTCATAACTTTCCCTCAAGTTATGGAACTTGCAAAGTCTCTTTTATGACTAAAGAGAGTTATAAAACGTGCCATCAAGTTTTAGAACTCAAAAGTTTTTCTTAAGGAGTTACAAAACTTGTCATCAAGTTTGGAAATTAACAGTTTTGAATTAAGTTTTAGAATTTGAAAATTTTAATTAAAATGTTTTAATTTGAAACATTGAATTCTAACAAAAAAAAACCCCAGTAATTTGAAAAGGTGCAACTTTTTGGTTCATAAATTAAAAATTAATTAAATAGCTTTAATTTTGAATTTTTATTTTTAGTACCATGAAGTTTTTGAATAGTTCAAATTACTCTTACGGACTTTATTAAATTGATTAAATGTTTAATTAAAAGAGAAAGTTAATAAATCCATAATCAAATGGTTTAAAGTTAATTAAATTAAAAAGTTTAATTTATTAATAGATTAAACCACCTAGTATTTTAAAAGTATAAAATACACCCTTATACTATATAAAATTATAAGTTTAATATATATATATATATATATATATATATATATATATATATATATATATATATATATATATATATATATACAAGTAAAAAG